ATGTCTTTGTATTCAATGGTACATTCTGCCCGAAAGCTCTTATTTTACATTCTGCTGTATTATTCCCTTTAATGTCTGTTATATTTTAAATGATATTTTAAACCTCAGCCTGGGCAAAATCTTATATGCCGAGGTGGTCTACTGGTCTTTGAAAAACATTAGGGGTCTATTCACTGAGCTACTGTAGGCAGCCGAGTGAAAGACCGACCTGTTCGGCTATTCACTTCAGGCTGGTACGGCTGATTTCAGTCATATATCGGATGAAATCAGCCGTACATCGGGCGGCTTCACTTGGCTTCGGGTCGGCCGAACATGCTCAGCATGTTCGGCTGACCCGAAGTGCAAGAGGAGTTCGACTCAGCCGATCCAACATCTGGACCGGATAAGCCAAACCTCCGGCAGGCTACTCGCTGCTGTTCGGTCTATTCTTATAGATGCCGAACAGCAGTGAGTGAATAGCCGAATGCCGCTGAGGCTGTTCTGCTCAGTCCCTCCGAGCCGATACATATGTCTGAGCTGAACTGAAGGGGTTCTGGGGCCGATGCTAGCCGAAGGATCGGCCAAAGCTACAGCTAGATCCTTTGGCCGCTTTGTGAATAGACCCCATAATGTCCTTACAGTTTCATGTCCAGCCAACCATTTTGTTTTACTTTTATCTTGCTACTGTAGCAAGAAACAGCTTATTTTGCCATCATGATTACCAGAATTGTAAAATTCTTGCAGGGTCACCTGCTGGGTGGTTGTTTCCTATTGACATAGGCATCCCCTCAGAACTACATTTTTCAGGAGCCCTTTCCTTACACACAGTATGTAGTTGGCAGGCTCTCTGCATTCAACGCAGCAATTTTGTTTTAGTAGGAAAAAAATCAATGTATGGACAGAGAGAGGTACAGATAGGCAAAGTTTTGTAATCCAGCAGGGAGGCCTGACAGCACAGCTTTAGATTTCAGTGCAGCAAAGGTACTGTGTTGTCAGTCCAAGTAGGAAGTTAGGAGCTCACTGGATTTCTGACCAACAAGGCATGTGTCTACACTTGCAGGTCCCTTGTACATATATGAAGTGCCCCTTTTGTTTACTGTTGCATCAGAAACTTGCAGACCCAACAAGCTGATATAAAGTACAGTTACTCTAGCAGCAAGTGTATCTAAACCCAACAAGTATATCTAAGTATATCTATACTTCGGATGTAGTGAGCAGAATAGCTGAACCAAATGCCGCTTGGCAGCATTCGGCTATTCACCAACTGCCGTTCGGCCCGTATGAGAGTAGGGGAGAACGGCAGCGAGTGAGCTGCTGGAGCTTCAGCTCAGCCAATCCAGATATTGGATTGGCTGAGTCGAACTTTGTCTGCAATTCGGCTCAGCCGAACATGTGTGGCTGAAATCAGCCGTACTGAGCCGGAGTGAGTAGCCGAACGTCGTTCGGCTCTGTTCATTTTGGCTCAGTTATTCATTCGGCTGCCCTCGGCAGCTAAGTGAATAACCCTCTTAATGTTGTCTGATCACTGGAAAAGAAGATTTTGAGAAAATGCTTCCTTGTGCCTGCAGCAGACTACTTTTATCTCTTGCCATATGTGCTCCAAGATGGAGACTCTCATAGTTTAGAGTTAGGACCGCACTATATAGAGGTGCCTTGGCAGGGCGGTGCAGCTTTCACCTCTGTTTTTAAACCTTAGCGGTGAGACAAGTATTTTTGCATGCTGGCTGGTGAGTGTGCTGGGAAACTTTTTGCTGTTGTACTGTATAAAGCCCTTCCATGTGCACCTTGCTTAGAGCTGGTTACAAATTGATGAGTGTGTTTGCCATTTGTTTTGCAGCAGACTACTGACATTATCTCAGTCAAGGAAACCAAATGGAGCTTTTCTCGTCCCCAGAAGAGCTTTAAATGTATTTTCTTCATTAACATAAGTTATTTTTTTAAAATATATTACTAAAGTGATGTAATGATAAATTGTACTTTATTTCTTTTGCTTCTTTTGCTATTTTCAATCTGTCTGTTTTAGAAAAAAATATTTTTTAATTATACTTTTTTGAAAACAGACAGATTGAAAATAGCAAAAGAAGCAAAAGAAACAAAGTGAACTTTGTTTTCACAAAACCCATCAGAAAGAAAGACTATTAAAAATACATAATTTTGCTGACTGATGACAATATGATGTTTTGTAATATATGTAATACAATTCTTGTATCTATCAATATGAAGCATTTTGGGGGTTATTCACAATGCTGCCAAAGGCAGCCGATTGAGTAATCCAGCCGAATTGAAATGAGCTGAATGCTGTTCATCTATTCACTGTACTAAAATCAGCCGTACATAGGCTGCCTTTGCATGTGCAGCTGAGCAAAAGTGGAGAATAACTGCGACTCAGCCAGTACAAAAATTGAAAAAAATTGAAAAAAAAGCTGCACACCAAACCGACCCCATGCAAAGGACTCCCGCCACGTGCCTGACAGATTCCGGCAAAAGAAAAACAATTGGGCGGAGCTAGCGGTGACAGCTAGCTCTGCCCAACTGTTTCCTATTGGCTGGCACCTGGCAGAATCTTCTAGCAGGCCCCGGCCAATGAATAACAACTGGGCGGAGCCAGCCGTGACGTCATGGCCAGCTCTGCCCAGTTGTTATTGTTTAATGACAGATCAGTGTCATGGGGACACTGATCTGTCATTACAACTGGGCTGCCTCTGCCCAGCTGTCATTAGCATGGAGAAAGGTCAGCCCTTCGGCCAACCTTTCCCCATGCTTTGCCTGTAGCTACGGCTCAGCTGAGCCGAAGCATATGCGTTCAGCTTGGCTCAGCTGCTCTACAGGCTATTGTGAATAGCCCGTGCAGCAGCCCTTCAGTTCGACAGAACTGAAATAAACTGAACGTGACTATTAACTTTGCATGCCATATTAATATTGTATGATTTAATCAGTTGACATCCGCAGTGTTAAACCCCCTTCCCATCCAGGCCATTTTTCAGTATTCAGCGCTGCGGTACTTTAACTGACATTTATTCCGTCATGCAGCGCTGTACTGAAATGAATTTTATACCCTTTTTTGGGGACAGATAGAGCTTTCTTTTGGTGGTATTTATTCACCACTGGGGGTTTTATTTTTTTACTATATTAAGGAAAAATTACCGAAATTTAAAAAAAAAAAAACAGTTTCCCCTATATTAAATGATAAAACATTTATTATTACCCAATTTTTTGGTAAAATATAAAAGATGGGGTCACGTCGGGTAAAAAGACACTAAACATGTCAAGCCTTAAAATTGCGTGCGCGCGCGAAACCTCAAAAAACGATAATACCCAAAATTGGCCATAGGCGACGCTTTAAAAGCTGTTACCGCTCATCAGTTTAGTGTTATCAGTGATTGATGGCCCTAAAATGATTGCTCTCACTGCGACGTTCGCGGCGATATGTAACATGTGTAGCGCAATTGTAATTTTTGCGCGCTGGGGCACCGGACGCGTATTTACGTTTATAGGCGCGTAAACGTGGGGGTGGGGGAGTTAAACATTTTGGGGGGGTTTTTTCCCCTTTTTTTATATGTGGCTTTTATTTTATTTTATTTTTTTATGTGTTACTTTTCTTTTTTTTTATTTATATTTTTTTTTTTGCACTTATTGTTATTGCTATTATATAGGGGGATAACAACCCCCTATATAATAGCAAAGGCACACTGACAGGTCCTCTTTATGGAGATATTAGGGGTCTCTAGGACCCCTAATATCACCTATGGACCCCAAAAGAAGCTGATAAAGCAGAGATCTGCTTTATCAGCTTCTTCTCTCTCCAGATGACTGACAGGTGAATGCGGAAGTGATGTAACACACATCACTTCTGCATTCACAGCCCGGACGGGGATCAGCAAGGAGCTGATCTCCCGTCCTCCTCCTCCTGACGCCCTCGGAGCCGGTCCCGGGATCCAAGATGGGGCAGCGGATCCCGGGATTCAAGGTGAGGGGTCATTGGGGGGGGGAAACCGGCAGCCGCGACCGCGCGGGGGGGGGGGGTGCCGCGAACGAGCACATATAGGCGATCGGCGGGCTATGGACCCGCTGATCGCCTATATGTGTGACACCCGGTACCGGGTGTGTGCATTGTCGGGTCTTTTCTGCCCGTGCGTGCCCGCTAGGGGGCGCGCGCGAGCAGAAAAAAATTGCCGTCTGGAGACGGCAACCCGCAGATGCAGCAGTGCCGTCCGTCCGTTTTTCTACTACGGGCGGACGGCAAGAGGTTAAAAGAGTGACTACATTTATGATATGGTTACTGTCATTCCTCTGTACCTCATCAGCTAGAAACCAGGCAGCTTTCAAACTAATATCAATAATTAGTTCTGACCCTCCACACCAGTAAATACCCGAAAGCTTCACAAATGAAAGTTCAGCTTGGCTACATTCAATCCACAGCATCATTTTTGTATGCAAAAGAAGCAAATATATTGCTGAATGCAATGGCTATATAGCATAGCATACTTCAGATATATGCAGAATCTCTGGTAGAGAAAGTGCTAAAAATGTGTAACTTTTAGTCAGGTACTTTTCTTTCTTAACCAAGGTTCCAACTCAGTATGTTATGCAGCATACTGCAGATTGACTGGAATGTGTACTGTGAACCTGCATCTGGTTTCTAAATGGAAGTATATTGGCCAATCAGCAGTATTCCACAGAACATTGTTAAAGAGGCAGGCAGCATTTATTTTCTAAGAAGAGCTGTTTTGGGGTTGGAGGGTGCAGAAGATGTGGCTTTCCATGAAGAAACCATAGAATTTGGGAGATTTGGTCAGAGCCAGGAGTGGAGTTAAAAATGGTGACTCCAAATATTTTCAGGCAAATTGTCATACCTAGCTTTTAACTGATTGTAATAAATATATTTATAAGTAGTTGAAAATGTAGGTTTGCAAATATAGTAAAATGTGTACCCCTAGGTCAGGATACTTGAAAACGTTTTAATGTAATAGGCTCTTGCTATGTTTTAATTTAAAAAAAACCTTGTGTTTATTTTTCAGGCTTTAGAGCATGATTTGCATTACTGAGTGAAGCCTACACATAATATTACACTGGTGATCCTGGGGATGAACCTGTACATCAATGGTGGTATGTTTTTTTTTATATATTTTAAAGCTGTAAATGAATATAATTTTAAGAAATTGCACAATGTTGAAAAAACCCTCTGTAATATTATGAGGTATTTATCCAAATGCAAGCTGCATTTACCAAACAACTTTTTCCACTGGAGTCTGTTCCTTTTTAACCAGTTGACATCCGCAGTGTTAAACCCCCTTCCCATCCCGGCCATTTTTCAGTATTCAGCGCTGCGGTACTTTGACTGACATTTATTCCGTCATGCAACGCTGTACTGAAATGAATTTTATACCTGTTTTTTAAGACAGATAGAGCTTTCTTTTGGTGGTATTTATTCACCACTGGGATTTTAATTTTTACATGGTTCCATTGGCAGTTACTGAGCCTTAAAATGTATGCTTTCAAGGTAGCATGTAATCTGGTATAAAATTATTCTCTTTAGTAGTTGTTCCATTGCTCCAGGCCTCAAGAGCTAAGATTCTCACAGAGTTTAAAACTTCCTTGTTATTAAGACATCAGCAAATTAAGAATGGTGTTGATCACTAAGCAACTTGATCCTGTCTATCTCACAATACTGGTCTACATGCAGCTTTCCAAGACTGGAGTTGTACACTAACTGCACTGTCTAAAAGTACACACATTTTAACATCTTTTGAAACTTAGTTACTTATATTACATCCTTTTGTAACACTTACTCTGTACAGTAATATGAGAGATAACGGTGCTTAATAAATTAATAATTTTTTTTAAATACAGAGACACTTTTTTCTGGCTTATTCCCCAAGGTTGTGTGCTAATGGCACTCTGCTTAACTCTTTGCATTTGGCTTACAAATGTATTTTGTAGAATAGAAATGAACTCTAGACCTAAAGAGGCTTTCTGGGATAGGTGAACATTGTACCTTTGAGTGGCTATGATTGACATGAGGATTCACATAAGCAAGCTTTATAAGAAAAATTCAAAATGTAAACTCCCAATTGAATGGTTTGTGAAGAGGTGGACTGTGATACAAAGGTATAGGTGGGGGGCAATTTTAATTTCTTCAGACATACTTTAAATACTAAGCTTCAGATATGGTCAAATCATAAAAATGGCTTGGTGTATAATTACTGATTTTCCCATAAGAAAAATAAGTGACACACTCAATTTTCCTCACCAAGCTACAAGAGCAACATGTAATTGAGAAAAAGTGTGTTGGTTTATTTTGAATGCATTTAGGGTAGTTTAATGCATTTTATTTAGTATTTCTTTGTATTTTTGCCTTTTTGATTGTTATTTGTGTACTGTCACTTGAAATTTTTATGCAGCTTTTTTACACTGTTTCTTTCTTTTTGTGAAATTGCAGTTCTTAGTCACAAAATTTAGGATAGTTTAAAGAAGCTTCCATTACCCCCAGGAACTATTTAAACCCTATTGCACCCTTAACACAGCAAAGCAAAACTAATTTCCCCTTTGTCTTTGAGTCCAGTGCATTTCACCAAAATCTCTCCAGCGAATAAAACTCTCAGATTTACTTATCGCTATAGTGAAAATGACTTCAAGATCACAGAACATGTCTATTTGACCATAACTTACTACCACTAGCTGTACTTCACAAAAGATCACTGGATACATATTTGTATGGAGTAGGATTAGTATTTTTTAAAGTTGTTAAGAGATGTTATGATCTTTTTGTAGGCTATTTTGGATGTTCTTTTGCAGTACTACAGAATATTACAGTTTATGGTTCAAACAGTAATGATAATTTTGTGCTTGATTTATGCATTTCACAAAATGTTAAAATCTAAATGGGTTTAAATGGGTTAAGTTTACAGGGGGGAGTTTATCAAAGCCATTACAACAGTTTTAGCCTCTTACATCATTTTTTTATGTGCAAATCTGTTTAGCCAATCCTTTTAACATGTGCGCCTGTTTTGACCAGAGCTTGCACGATTTTCCCCGATTGCGCTTGTTTTGCGCCTGTTTTGTGAAAGTTTGCAACTGTGTACATCTGCACTTGTTGTGCAGCTGTCTGAAACTGGAGCATCACCTAACAAAACAATCACAACTTAAGAAGTCCACATGACCACTTCTTCAAGAAGTGACAGTTAAGCTTTTTGCCTGGAGTTACAAGTCTTCTTTCCTGGAGTCTATTTAATCTAATTTATGAACAACATTACACTAGCAACATAAATCTGGTGCAAAGTACGTCAAATATATTCCATGCAAGTTCATACACTCGCAATTGCTTTGATAAGTTCCCCCCTCAGTCCATTTTTCTCACTATAGTAATCAACTGTTACTTTAAACATTCAGCTTTTTACATTCACTAATTCAATTTTAAACAAACGTGTAGCACCCGCAAAACAACAAAGCTAAGAGCAGCATCCAGTAGTGGGCAGAATATGATGTCAACATGTGTTGCAGCAAGATCCTTTTTTATAGCTGTTCCATCCTCATGTTGTTTTTCTGCTTTCTGCTAATGGAGATTAGGCATACCACTATCGCCATTCTATAATACAGTGCTTGGTATTTCCAGACATTGTCATATGGGGCTTATAAATATATGATGGGCAACCTAGAGCAAGTTTTTATTTGCATGTCTATGTTGAGAAGCTCAGGGGTGGCGCAAAGGTGAACATTTCAGTAACAGGTATTTTTTGGATGATGTATGTTGTCAGCTTTCTGCTGCTGCTGTTGACTTAAGACCTTTAAGATTGTTCTAGTTAAATGTAATATACACCGAGAATATCATAATTCACAGGGAAAGTGCAGCAGCAGCTTTTACAAGCAGGTAATTGTATGCTTAAAGTGAAACCAAAAATAATGGGCGATACAAAATCTTGGACATCTACCAAAAAAGATAAAATAAATCCAATTGATGGTTTAATCAGTAGAGTATGTTTTAGACTATGTCTACCATACTTAAAATATCTGACATACAGTATACAGTGTATTAATGTGTCATGGTGTTGTAGTGATGCAATATGCATATCAGTTAGTTTTCCCAAACTGATTTTCCAAAAGTCTACTAAGTAATTGTATGGAGTCAATTTTATAAGCTTAATTTCAAGTGTATATTATAAGAAGACAGCTTTAAATCTAAAGCATTACTTCTTTAGAACTATTAATACTATACAGGACATTTTCTGGCAAAAGCTTCTAACTACAAACTGAGCCAAATGAATGAGACAACTAAAACATATGAAATAAAATTGTGCAACCCATTCTCTAGATTTTAATTTAAAATGTAATTTATAGAACTTAAATGACTACTATCACAAAAAGTATAGTATTCTGATAGCTGTATGTGGTCATGTCATTGGAGATTTCAGTATATTAAACTATTTGTATTTCATGTGTTTTTATTTACACATATTTTCACATTTTAGCAGATGTGACAGGGATATGGACTTGAATCTATAAATCTCTACTGCCTTTCTGAGCCTCTCCAGACTATTCTTGCTATGCCAACACATTGACCATAGCTATGAACTCAGTTGCAACAGCACTTAAAAAAAAAAATTCTAAAGAGTTTTTCATGGTATATAAACATGATCTACAGAAGATCAAGAATACTCTCTCAATTGCTAAGAAACATTCACAAAATTAAACATCAACAGCAGCTTTGAAATACCTTTAACTCCCCACTCCATACATCCTTCCCATCTCTCACTTATAATTGCCAAGACGTGGTTGCATATTTTACTTGGCTTTGTTATGGAACCCAAGGTGACTATCTAACTCCCTCCCCAAACTTCCTTATTTTTGGTCTGGAAAATATGCCACTAAAAGCATTTTGTTATATCTGCTTGATAAGTGCAAAAATAACTATTGACCCCTCCAAAATCTTGTTAGCTATCCATTCCCTGTGACTGGTCTCTATTCTTATCACTTACATTGTCCACAGCTATCTCCAAGGACTATAGAACCGCCATGCAATGGAGTGGGAAAATTTTTGTAAATCTGTCCTAACTTGACAAATTTGCTTCTCCATAGCTACAGTATGGTAAGTGGGCTTTGTCTCCCTAGTACAGGGAGTGTGTTAGTAGCTGGATCACCAGATAAAATAACTTTAAAAAAAACCCTCAAACAATGTAAAAAAAAGAATGCAGACACCACATCTAAGGACTCGTAAGCTGCAACTCATTACAACTTTGTTCTTGAGTTTAAATATGCTTTAATACATCTAATTTTTTCCCCAGCACATCAGGGAATACTATTTCTTATGCATTTCACCCCCTACTTGGGCTTGATAATAGAACCTACAATCAGACCCCAGTATGGAGTGAAATACAACAGAAAAAGGTGCTGGAGTAGAGTGTTCTCTAATGTGCTGGAGCAATAGAGTTGATTTTAGCTTCCGGGAATAGCAGTGCTGCCTTAAACTTGCTTGATAACATCACTATAACCCCAAATACCCATGCTTGCTGCATAGGGGTTAAAGCTGTAGGCAGATAAAAGGGATACAAGTTAAAGCCTCTCTGTATTTATTAATACAATAAATGCAAGCAGTGTCAGTTCTGAGATACTGAATAATGTTTGAGCTTCCCCATCAACGCTTTTTAGTTAAAAAGCAAACAAAGTAGAGACATGGCGGTTGATTTACTAAAGACAAATGGACTGTTCACGTCACAAGGGAATTTGAACTTTGCAAGGAAATGTGCCTAAAGCTTAATGAATTAGGTGAAGCACTGTGGACTTCCATCATCCAATCATGTGCAAGCAAAAATGCTGTTTTTTATTTTCCTTGTCCGTGATTAGGTATTCTTGGCAAAGTGAATTTTCACCACATTCACTAGCTAAGGGAAAATTCCCTTGCAAAGTGAAAATTCTCATGCCTTTAGTAAATCAAACCCACATAGTACTTAAACTAGGCCTTAAACATAATGCTCTAAAAAATACTCTAAAATCTACATCAGTGGTACAACAAATTACTTTGGAAAAGTATTCTTTAATTATGAACAGCCAGAGTATAGCAATTATATTGTCATGAAAACTGATTCGCTAGTTTTACTTTGAAACAAATGCCT